ATTATAACCAACTCGCTACTCAGAGACTGACACGGCTAAATGAACTGTTGAGATCCAGTGTTTTCTAAATGGTAGGTGATTGATAATTCAACACTGTAACTGGGAATAAAGCTGGTACCCAAATAATGCAATGAAAAGAAAACAGTTGTTTGTCCAGAGAAAGGAAGAAAAGAGACAAAATAAAAAAGGGACCCAAAGAAAAGTGACTGCATTTGGTGACCACTGAAGGGGCAAGACGGGGGAGGGTGAAGTCTGAGGAGGATCTGGCAGGAATAAGCACCGAAGGTGCCAGAGACAACTCTAACATTCTAAAGCATAGTTTGGTGGATGCACACCACAAAGATTTTAACTACAAAAACCCAAAATAAGGTGCCTAACACAACTCTGGAAGATCGGCGAGGATAGAGAGAACAAATTAATCCTCTCTGTGAGTGTTATCATTTTTATCAAAGCATCCTGTCTTAAAAAAGTTGGCTTGCCTTTGACTAAAAATTTGATGCTTCATTTGGCCAACAAATAATGAATTGAATTTTGTTGTCTGCACCCACCTAGTGACATAATAAAATAAACAATGAATTTACTGATCAAGAGAACTTAAGCACAGTTTGTACATGGAAGTAGAATGGTAGACAGCTGAGGGAGAGTAACAGAGCAGATTACACCATGGAAAATGAAGTTTGCCACCACTGGAGATGATGCTTTTTAAGGGGATGGGAGAAGCAATAAACAACGTCACACCAGAGAATGCAGGGATGAGTGGGACAGAGAGACAGATAATCTGTACATTCAGTAGCTCCAGCAGTCAGTAACAAAGTTCAGATGAAGCAGAAGACAGGAAAGGAAAAACACACAACACTTGAATCCTAGCTTGCCTTTTGCGTTTCAGAATGGATGGACAATCTGAGTCTATCAGTATAATGAGGGCATCTCAAGGAAAGAATGGGATGGTGCGAGAAGCAGGTGAGCTTATGAGACTAACAGAAAAAAAAAACAAGAACACCAGTATATCCACTCTGAGGGGGGAGGGAGGTGAAAACGCGGAAGATAAAGGAGGATAGATAATCATCAATGAAAATTTAAAAAAAGAAAAAACATGTACATATTGCACAGATTATAGCAAAGGTTTAAAAAGACAGTGGCAGATTGTGGAAAAACCCTGACAACACCAGCCTAGTTTCAATGTTGACGTGACTTTAAAAATGGCATATAAAAGGATGTTGACATGGCTTTTACAGGCTCAACAGGCAGATTTGGACATGAACGCATTTAGGCATTGTGACTCAGGCTAAAAGACTAAGAGAACAGGTAGGTTAAAATACAGTGACTTGACAGAGGCAGGATGACTATTTATTATTCATCTCTTCTTGTTTGTTTGACCTGTAGTCAGGCAGTGAGAGGGAGGAGCTTAGGGACATACCGCTCAGGCCCACTGCTGTCTGGGACTGACACACTGGCATTGTACTGGGCGTGGCATGGGCAGGGGCCAGGGCCATTCGAGCACAGATGTCAATCAAGTAAGGCGCCCATTTAGGGACAGGGCACGATTATGGACAGGGCCAACCAGGGTGTCAGGTGGGCGGGCGCAGGAGGGGCCATCCAGAACATGGGCAACAGAGGAGGAAGTGGGCAAAAGTCAACAGTAAAATAATAAACAAGGAAGAGGGAAGAGGGAAGAGGAATACATTTTTAATATACAGGCTCTACACTGTTCAAACGTGACTTTAATTTGATTCTCTCAGAGATTGGTTTGTCAAAGAGAGAAAAGGAGAAAAGGTGACATTGGAAAATGGGTAATGGCATATTAAGAACATGATAAGTTCAATGTTGGGGAATAGACCAGAGACAGTGAGAGAAGGGGGAGAACAAATTGTGGAGGGCTAGAGAAAGAGGCAATGACATTGAATGAATTAAGAACTGGTCAGGTTGCCTTAACACTTATTAAAACATACGTATTAGCTGGTGGTGCAGGTGACCTCATGAACACCACACCGTGCCCATTGATTTAAATTAACAAGATTATCAGTGTTGCCACAACAGCATAGTTACAATAAATTACCAATATGAAGACATGGACATGAAATTGGATTTTTGTGCCAAGGGCCAGTTTAGCTGAGGAAATCACATGATGTTTATATGAGAATAAAAAGGGGTTTGTCAGACGTTTTCATGAACAGAGGGCTAATATCAATACAGGCATCAGCTAACCACACCCCTTGTTTACACAGAAGAAAACAGTGCCAAATACCAAATTAAGTTTTTAAACAGTTATCCAGGGTAAATGTTTGTTTAAGAAAAACTGCTGTCCTATAGAGGAGGCTGGGTAGTTTTGGGAGGCTTAACACCAGTGTGGGGAAAAATAAAGAATACAAAATAAAATCTCTAACCAAAATAAAAATTCAGGGTGTATGAAATGTATAAAATGTACTCACGTCTGTACGAAGGGCTTTGATGTTCTTGCCGCCCTTCCCAATTACAGCTCCTGCATTCTGAGAATACAGAAAATACTTACAAAAACTGAAAACATAACAAATAAATGAAAAAATCATAACTATGGTGCTGCAATTAACAGGCAAGGTGCCATAGAATATTACAATTAGTATCAGGAAAAGCATAATGACTGCACAAATACCCCCCAAAAAATGTGGGAATGAATTATTCAAAAGGTAGAGATGTGATCAGGGCAACAAAAAGAAAGCTATAAAAAATGGAGGGGGTATAAAAAAAATCATCAGTCTGACTGAAGGGGTGCACAAAAGAAAGAGACAAAAATATGAATAATTACATAAGGGTTCGACATGAAACGTGAAATGAAAGGGGAGCTGATTTACTTTGCTCTGCAGGAGGATGCGAAGCTCAACCATCTCGTCCGAGTTCCTGGAGCGCTTGAATGATTTCTGCTCATCTGCATCCTCAGCAGGGCGCTTACCTGGCATAGGGAGATAAAAACACACATTGACATCCCTACATACACATCCCTCGGCTAGATAAAATGAAATAATCAAAAGAATGCAGAAAGCAGTGACAAACAGAATTACAAGACTTAGATATTTGGCACTCTGTTTTCATTTTATGAGCTAAATTTAAACTGATCACTGTGTGCAAAACCAGGAAAGACTTTTGTAATTCTTTAATAAAAGCATGAGCACAACTTTGGGAGACAAGACCAGGTACTGTAATAAATATGGCTTATGGTAGACAACCTCCAAGAGGAATACCAAGAGAAAGATTTTAATCATAGATAAGTTGCACTATTTTCCAAAACCAGAGCTGTAAAAAATCATCAACAACTCTTAAATTGCTATCGTTCCTTTACATGACACACAGATATCAATGATGTACACACAAAACCTGCCAACAAATTGGTGCATTTTGATAACATAACCAACAAAAAGAAAGCTTTGTTTATACCGTTTGTCTCTGTGTTGCTGAATGAAGCGTCTTCTTGCTGTTCAATTTCTGTTTCCATGGTCTTCTGACAGTGAAAGAGATAGGGTGGGCACCTCGGTCCGGGGAACAGGCGGCAGCAGCAGCAGGGAGAGATAAGCAGAAAACTGGCCCCTGTGAGCTGTGGCAGTCTGTCAGCATTGTGGAAGAGGGAGGGGAAAAAAAGAAATAAGACAATTCAAGCTGTGTGCTGGAGATCTGGCTATTCAAGAAGAACCCGGGATGACATGGCAACAAAAACGAGAGAGGAAAAACTGGCAGAAAACCGGCACTCACCGATATTTATTACAGGGACAAGGGCGTGTTGATAGGCGGAACTAAATAAGCAAGGACCAAACAGCTGCTGCGACCTGTCGGGGAGGGAGAGGCTAGTTGAAACACTCATATGCAACATGACAAAAACAGCTCATTAACAACAAAGTTAGAAACGCACCGATTGTGATCACATACACTTTATTTCACTGAATTAATCCTATACTTGAATCGATGTGACTGATATTTAACTAACATTACAGGTCGGCAATGCTAATGAACATTCACCCAGCGAGCGTTTAGGACCGTCAGGATTATCATTACAATGCTGGCAGTCATTGCATGTTCACATATAGGATTGTTTGGGTGGCGAGTGGCGACAGAAACATACATTTGCATTGCTTCGGAGGGCGACCACAACCAAGAGATGATTTAATCAGCCAGTGATAGACACGTTATATTAACGTTAGACACCCACATAACGTTAATACTTAGCTTAATGCTATTTCAACACATCGATTTCTCAATTTCAAGCGAAGTTACGTTGCAACTAACAACTGAAGCTAGTCATTTAACAGTTAACAGCTCTACTATAAGTTATGCTAAACCGAAAACCGAAAGCGAGCTAATGTAGCTCCACAGAAGCTAAGTTACGGACCATTAGCTAAGCTAAGTCGTTAACTGCGGCTGACGTTACGTTAGCTACCTGTGGGGAAACGCGTTAGCTTCACCGTGTGCATTTAGACTAACGTTACTAGTTCCACTAAATATCGACTGTACACTCTTTCAACCACTTTACTACTTGCATACAAGGCAAAGTGTCGCCTTGTGTTATTATCTAACACGAGTCCGTTGATAAAACGATACCGATCGATTAATACAAAGACCAGCCCGGGCCACTCATGCTAACGGCTAGCTAATTTCGCCATGTTGCTATAATTTCGGGTTGAGCACAAGGGGAGCTAGCTAGGCCGGCTAATTAGGCAGCACTGCATCAGATACAATCTAAGAAACAAAGTGACTGCTAAAGACATACTTCTTTTCACTGTATATGTGTTATTCGACTACCTTAGGCTCAGTGTGGCTAAGGAAATTAGGAAAATATCGTCAAAACACAAACCTGCAGTGCAACACCTCGCTCGTCCCCCTTCCTTCTCTACCGAACCTGGAAATGTAAAACTTGAGCCAGAGTGTGCTGATTGGTTGAGCAGAAAGCAAATCAAACAAGCGAGAGTCACGATTGGCTAAAAGAGACGTTAATCACAGGAGGTGAGGCGTTTCCAACGCAACACAGTAAGCCCTATTTCCGGGTGCCGCTAGTCCCGTAGTTTTGTGTGGTTGCTCAAGTTATTCCTGTTTATAAGGTATGATCCGCGAGGCTAATGTTAAGCTATGTCTTTATAAGTACTTTTAGAGACACAATTGATATGTTTAAGACCTCCTCTTGTATATAAGAGCTTAAATGGTTATGTTGTATGGACACAAAGCTAGGGTGCAGTAGCACCAACATAGCTATATAAAGTGGGTTAGTCAACTTTGGCGCCTTGGCTACTTTCCGCAACAGCCTCCATACATCTCAGGTAACCTATATAAACACGTACTGGAACATTTTTTCTTTCATTATTTTATAATTCAGTCTTTCGCATGCTATACCTGCCTGCATCTCTCACTCAATCTTTCTTTCTCTATCCTCCACAGTGCCCAGACGTGACCATCTGCAGAGACACAGGGCTTATCAAAGCTGATGTGACCACAGAAAGTAATTCTCCTTTGTTCCTGTATCACAATAAACTAATCTGTCCTAATCAATAGATCACCACAATATCTGGTGTCAAGTGGTTTTGGAGATACAGAGAGAAGATGACCCCTTGACAAAGACACTCTCTTTAAGCCCTCAGGGATTGCAGGGTGCTGTGTCATGAATTACATTACATGTAACATTTGAACCACCACTTGTATACTGAAGACTATAATGTACAAATGTGTCACTGCTTATGTGAAATCCAGTCATCATCACTGATAACGTACTGTTTTTATATAATAACAGATACCAGTGGAGAGGATATCAGGAAGTGGCCTAAGTCAAACACACAGAAAGGAACAGGATGGCCCCTGAGATCCAGACAGTGGTACATGCGACCCAAGCCTGGCTGCGGTCCTCCTGGCACATCCAGGTGCCCTTTGCCTGGCTGGAAGCTTGTGTGGAGTGGCTGCAGGAAGAGGCAGGAGGAGCAGGCCGCCTGTCACAGCAGCAAATCAACCAACAGGTAGGCAGGATGAATGTCTAACTGTACAGCTGAAGGCATGATGGTCACAGACTAGAGTCGGCTCAGTTGTCATGGAGATAGCTCAGTTGTGACTATGACGTTGTAAGTATGGGACTTGGGTCATGTGTTAACAGGTGGTCATATGTAGGGAGGCTGAATAATCTCCTCGAAATAGCAGACTGTTTGTGTCTCTTTCTTTATTGTATGAGATTAAATTCCAGTATCCCTCCACGCTAAACTCAGAGCATGATATAAGCAGCTATTTTATTTATCTTGGCGTCCCATATTACCTCAAAAGATGCTATACACAGTGTGGGAACCCTACACAAACATGCAGTGCACAGAGACCACATCTCATTGAATCGTGGTGCAGACAATCATCAAAAGCCCACAACCACGGTTTTACCACTGGACCCTGAGACGAGGAAAACCACGCTACAGTGGGTAGTGATCAGCAAAAGTGGGTGATTGAAGAGTGAAAGAACACCTCCTGGTCTGACAAATCCTGGTTGCTGTTGCAACACGCAGATAGCAGGGCAACATTTTTGTGTAAACAGCATGAATCCATCCTGCCTGGTGTCAGCTGTACCAGCTGGTGGTGGCGTCATGTGAGGTATGTTTTCCTGCATTTACGCATCATTTGTACGCCACAGTGAACCTAAATATTGTTGTTGAACAGCTGCGTCCCTCTATGGCCAGAATCTATTCCTCTTTCTCTTTTTTTAACAGACACTTGGAAAGGGTAATGCTTCATATCTCAAGGCACAGATTACTTCCTGATGGTTCCAGGAACATGACAGTGATATCAGTTGATTCAAGCGGTCAGCATGGTCACTTCACCTGAGAGAGCACTTCAGTGTTGTAGATTGAGATGTTCAAATCACGAATAAGGGACTTTATGACAGTACTGAGTCACCATGCCTCAACATTACTGTGATACTTGTATTAGTTAGCCATAATTTGATGGCCCTTTATGTAATGGAAGTGAATGTACCTTATTCTTTATCATGTCACAGAATATTAAGTATAGAATAATAGATATATAATACTGAGTCTAATGAAATAGGTCTTGTGGTGGGAAATAAACTTGCTGTAAACTGCATGACGTGAAATTTTAGGCGCTGGACCAGTGGCTGTTGACAGACCTGAGGGACCTGGGCCACCCTGTTCTCCCTGAGGGTCTCTCTCAGGCCCAGAAGACTCAACTCAGCGGCACCTTCTGTGTCCAGGTACAGGCTTGTAGATCAAATATTTAACGCTATATATATTGTATCTCATACTTATTGCTTGACTTTATGTTAGGGACGATTCCCATTGATCAGTAGCTGCATGTTTCACTCACAAACAAGACCAGCAATTCAGCTAACTGTCATGTACAGTACTGTGTATCTGTTATTCTGTTTACAATTGAAGTGTCAAACATTTCATTAGATATTTAAGAAATTCAAATGCAGGGAAAACGTAACATAATCAAAGGTCCCACTCTGTTTTAGGTTGACTCATTAATAGACATCAGCCAGCCTGCGTACAGTCAGCTGCAGAAGTGGAGGGGCTCAGACTGTGGCAACGACGAGGTGTCTGCTGTCACGCAGGCCACCCAGAGGCCCTGGGAAGCCAAACCAACCCGTATGCTACTATTGCAGGTCAGAGGCATGTATGAAATGAAATAGGTATATAAATATACATCCCTTGAATTTTGATTTTCTGCTTGGTAAGTGATAACACTTTATTTGGATAGTCAGCCTACAGATAGTTTATGTGGTACTGGTAACATTTCAACAGCTTATTAGTTGAGATTCAACAAGTCAACTGTTTTACTATGTTTGTGGATGTTTAATAAATTATCTACAGAGTATATGTGACCATTATGAACACACCTACACTGAGCTATTCACTCAAGCAGCATAGCTTCAATGAACAGTTCTAGTTCAACTAGATTATTCTGAGACGATGAAGTGAATTGTCACATATACTCTAAAGATAAACATCTACAGGCAAAGAGAAACAGTTGACTTGTTGAATCTTAACTAATAAGCTGTTGACTTGTTACAAACACAGTATAAACTAACTTCCTAACATACAGCGAGTAGGCGAACTCTGGCAGATGGAGTGAAAAGAAGCATCCAGATTTACTACTAGTGACACCAACACTGAGGGAGTAAATCAAGCCTTAAACGAGACTAAGCAACAGCATGCTTTTGCTCTGAAAATAGATCAGAGGTTTACGTAGCTTTGCCAAAAAAGAGCCAGGGGAGCGTTTTTTCTAAGCAGGTGCCACATCGCATACCCTGCGTGGTGACATGCGGAGCAGGTTCGGACATCTTCATCGGGAAACACTGAAACAATCTGATGTTCACTCGCTCGTATCGCATTAGGTTAAGAAAGCATAGGAATAGCTGTCATAAATTAACGCCCCAGTGCACCAAGCAGTTGCATTACACGAACAGAATATGTGATACAAGTCGGCCGTCTCTCAACTCAGACAACCTGATAGCTGTGATGAACGGTAATCAAGAATTTTCAACCAAACTCATTTTCAAAAAACAAGCAAAGAACAACAAACAATCAAATTACGAGTACCTGTAATTGGTATGTTTGTATGCGTGTATTTTGAACTCGTGGCTTTTCCATCAACACTGACTTAATAAAGCATTGTGAGTGTGTCTTAGCACTTGCAGATAATTTCCCTACCGTTTTATTCACTCACAGCAAACAAAATTAATTAAAATAAAATTAAAATTGATGAAATTGTTTGTAGAACTTCACAACTTGTCACTCGACTAAAGGTTAGTGCAAGGTTTCCATTAAAGATCCATGTAGCAGAAAACTCACATTGTACACACACTGGTAGTGACTACAGAGTATTTTACATTACAAATGCAGTGTTACATTATTCACCAGTATGTACAATTGTCCTCAGTGAACTGTCCAACCATCCTCTACGACCAGGCTTTGTCTTCATGTGTTTGGTTGCGTAGAATAATGAAGACTTCTGCTTCTCTTCCTAACTGAATCAGAGTGGACAATCAGTGGGAGCATATGAAAGAGTAAATTGCTGGAATATAAGGCGCAGACTGTAATTTTCACCTTAAGTAATACACTTGTCACTGCTCTATGGTTTCTCAAGAATAGTGCTGGTGTTGCTTAGAAACGTTGCAATGGCTTTTTCCTCTTTTTTTTTTTTTCTTTTTTTTTTTTTTTTTTTACTGTGTCTGAGACCTGAAGTCTCACAATTCTAGGAGTCACAGGATACAAAGAGCCATGGTAGTTTAAAATACACTGGAATCACTGTCCAAAATCACTGGAACAATTTTCAAAAATAATAATTTTGAAAGTCTGTGTTTGAACCAGCAGTAAAGTTCTGGGAAGTTTTGCAGCTAAGCAACCTACAGCGTGACTTACAGTGTGACAGCTACATGTCACTGGTAAAAATGCATGAAGGTGTTTTAGTGTCATTTGTTGTTCCACTTTCAGAATGTTTAACAATGCAGTGAAGCAAGGCTCACGCAGCAATGATGTTTAGACTTCTTTTGTAATATTTTCAAAATGTAAGTCTGTAATAATTACACAATCATCTCCCTGTTCAGCTGTTTGTGGTCAAGTACACAATCTCTGTTGTGCAGGTGACAGATGGAGTCCAGAGCTTGGAGGCCATGGAGTATCAGTCGATCCCTGCACTCAGCACGGCTCTCAGGTTAATAATCAATCTCTGAAATGTTTTATTATTTGATTTTTTTCTTCCTTTCTTTTTACATCTTTCCAGCTACTGCATCCAATGGTACCTAAAAGAAACAGAGGGACTGCTGTTACTTATTTATGCGGGGTATTTTTTTAGATTGTGGTTGGAGATGTCATGGAATCAAAAATGAAATCAAAGTTTCTCAAGAATTAAGAAAATAGAAGTGACTTTCTGGAGTTTTTGTACCATATATTTTTGAGAATTTAACTATATGTTTAATTGTTGGCTCCTGTCACCCCAAGGCCTGGTGTGAAGCTGCAGCTGCATGGGCAGATGGTTTGCAGACTTGGGATGCTTCTGTTGGGGCCGACCAACATCAAGGTCCTGGGTGGTGAGGTGGAGGACCTGGTGGAGAGGAATCAACAGGTAAACTGTTGGTTTCCCTTGCTGATTTGAGACAACACATCTTTATGCTTTCTTTTCTTTTTCATTTAAAACAGCATTTTGACATTAAAGCTACAGTTGGTAATTTTAATAAGAAATAACTCCATCATATTAGCTGAAACTGTCACTATATTCACACAGCATTAAATTAGAAAGATAATTTGTAGAAAAATCATTCCTCTGCATACTTTATTGTCCTGCTTTTCTAATTTACTTTACTGCACGTGAAAGAAAACAACCAATCACAACTGAGGAGTCACTAAAGCAGCTGTCAATCATGTCAATCACTGCTCGTGAACTGCAGTCAAACTAGGCAGCACTGATCAAATATGAATCAAGATTATGTTGCTGCATTGCCGGTTTCCGCTTTAACTGTTTTCAGAAACATCTATTAGTGTACTGTTTAGCTGTAAAATGAGAAAGTTTGTGACCCGGCTGCCATGTTGGATACAGTTAAATAGGAGTACCAAGCACCACCCACCAACTAGAACCAATGTTCTGTGTCTACAGCTAAACAGTACACGAAAATATGTTTCTGAAAACATTTGAGGCAAGAAATAGGTAATGCAGTAGCAGAATCTTGGTTCATATTTAATCAGCACTGCCTAGTTTGACAGCTTGACCGTAGTTCAAGCAGTGATTGACATGATCTACAACTGCATAACAGACTCCTCGGCTCAGATTGGTGGTGCTGGTTTCTGCAAATATGACACAAAATTATTTTCAGAAAAGTTGCGTACAGATGTGTGTGTACAGATCCTGTGGTATATTTCTATACTACTATGACAGGGCAAGATTCTGTGTCGGACGCTGGGACTTCCTGAGGAGGAGCAGCAGGAGGGGGAGGAGGCTCCACCAGCACCACAACAAGGTATATTTAATTCAATTAGACAATTTATATGTTTATAAAATAAGTCACACTGAAGACTGGTAATGGATGCCTTATTTCTTAGTTTAATTTGCCCTTTTTAGGATTGAAAATAATCGTGCTACTTTTTGCTTTCTCCTCAGGTAACCAGGAAGTGGAGGACCTGGAGGTGGATGATGCAGAGTTGTTGGCAGCCAGTCTGGAGGCCCAGGAGGAGGTGGAATGGGTTCAGGTTGAGCCTATTCGAGACAGTGGCTACAGGACGCTCAGTGTGACCTCCACTCAGTCCTCGAGAAGCTCCACTGTCAGGAGCCTTGTATCGACAGCCTCATCTAGGTGAGTGGTTATCAACATGATGTCTTGACATTTTAAGCTGGAACTCCACAGTGCTCAATGCCGGGCAAATAAACCTTGACATTTTAAATTTTAGCATAATGTTTGCCTTCAGAAAAAATATCAGCATTTATCTTTCAGCTACTTTAGGGAGCATTTAACACTAACTCCACACAAGCTGTCTGACTTCAGGCTGTGATCAAAAATAAGACTTACAGGGACAGTTCACCCCATAATCAAAAATCCATATCTTGTCTCTTACCTGTAGCACTAAACATCAGTCTAGATTGTATTGTTATGAGTTGCCGAGTGTTGGAGATATCGACTGTAGAGATGTCTGCTTTCTCTTGAATATAAGGGAACTAGATGGCAATCGTCTTGGTCAAATGTAAAAGAAAAAAAAAACTCAGTGCTTACATCTCACACTGTCAAAATGGTTCCTACATGGTACTGCTTTTGATATCTGACTTAAAACTATCTTGGACCTGCATGGTAAATGGGCTTTCACTTTCTCATCATCATCTGACCACTCAAAGCGATTTTTACACTACGAGTCACATTCACCCATTGACACATTGGTGGCTGAGGCTAACATACAACCACCTGCCACCTGCTATTCAGTTTTTAACACACTCACACATTGATGGAACAGCCATCGGGAGCTTCAGTATCTTGCTTAAAGGGATAGTGCACCCAAAAATGAGAATTCAGCCATTATCTACTCACTCTCATGCTGAGGAACGCTCTGGTGAAGTTTTAGAGTCCTTACATCCCTTGCAGAGATCGGCGGGGGCAGCAGCTAGCACACCTAATGGAAGACAGCACCCCAGACTAACGTCCAAGAACACAAAATTGAATCCACAAAGTATCTCCATACTGCTCATCCATAGTGATCCAAGTGTGCTGCAGCCCGACATAAAAAGTTGTTTCGAAAAACGTCATATGAACTCTATTTTTAGCCTCACTGTAGCCTGTTGCTCTGACTGCTTCTCTGTGCTCCGCGTTCACGTGTGCATGCTTGCGCGTGACCAGCGAAAGCATGAGCTTTGCTCACCCGTGTTTACATCACGTGACACATGCACCGCAGGGAGAGACAACAGTAACCACAGTAGCTAAAAGATAATTTGCACTACGGTCTTTTAGCAAAGGACAGCCCAACATGTCTGAAGACTTTGCAATTGAGGAGGAACAGCATTTCTTTGTTGAGCCGTATTTGTTTGAGCCCGAGTATACGCACGGAACTCAGGCTACTGGACGAAGCAGCCGCCGCAGCTCATGAGCCTATCCCTCAGCCAGCCGCAGAATACGGGAGTCAAGCACTGGAAACCTGGTGGTGTAGTTGTTTCAAATGCAAAGCAGTGCCAGCGGATGAGGAAAGTCTTTGCTGCTCAGACTGGGAATTGGCGATGCCTGCACTTGAGAATCTGGACATCAGTACTGACGAGACTGCTGCTCTTCAGAGATCACCGATCACCCTGAGCGCGCACACGTGAGCACAGAGCACAGAGAAGCAGTCAGAGCTACAGACTACAATGAGGCTAAAAACAGAGTTCATATGACGTTTTTCGAAACAACTTTTTATGTCGCGGCTGCAGCACACTTGGATCACTACGGACGAGCAGTATGGAGATACTTTGTGGATTCAATTTTGTGTTCTTGGACGTTAGTCTGGGGAGCCGTCAGCCATTAGGTGTACTAGCCGCTTCCCCCGCCGATCTCTGCAAGGGATGCGAGGACTCTAAAACTTCACCAGAGCTTTCCTAAGCATGAGGGTGAGTAGATAATGGCTGAATTTTCATTTTTGGGTGCACTATCCCTTTAAGGATACTTCGACATGCAGACTGGAGGGGCCGGGGATCGAACCGCTGATATTCTGATAAGTGGATGACCCGTTCTACCTTTGAGCCACAGCTGCCCATCTTGTTTTTTTCAAAATTATTTTTAGCTCGGAAAAAATATTTTTGACGAGCAATATATTCCCATGTCATTAGACTTTGTCATTTGGTTGCATTTTGGTTATGATGTCGGGTGATCATCAAGTCTCTTCTGTAGTGGAATTAACATCATGTTATGCATACATTGTGATGGCTCACCAGCAGATGAAATAGAATGCTTTTCAATGTATGTAATATTCAGTCATTGTGCAAAATAAGAAAAAGCATGTTGGTCGGTTCTGATGGTTTATTTTAAAGCCGATATTGGCCGATACTGATGATGTACCGATATTATCTGCATGTTGGCCAATCCCGATAGTTCATTTCGAAGCCAATATCTGCAGATACCGATGACGTGCAGACATTATTGTGCATCCCTACTGACGACAGATGATGTTGATATTTTGTGGTTATAAGTCATATTGTTCAGCAATGAGATTCCAACGTCTCAGACCAATGTCATCCTGACATAGAACAACAACATGTAGTTGTAAGGTATGGAAAATAAAACCCAACGTCTGCAAAACACCATGATATTAACGTCCACACGATGTGATATTTTAATAGACATTTAAAATATCGTTAACCCAATTTTCATTTCAACCAAAATTTAATACAGTCTGACATAAGAGTCCAACTAAACTCTCTGATGTCACACTGACATTTGGTACCAGCTTGGTTTGAATTTTGGGGGTATTAACACTGTTACAAACACTTGCTGATTTAAAGCTGTCTTAACTCAGTCCAACATTTTTGGCCGGTCTCTTGCAGAAGTGAAGCCTCTGAACTCTCGTACAGAAGTGGTTTCAACCAGAGCAACAGGGGTGGTTTAGTCCAAGGTCATCGCTACGGAAATGAACAAGAGATCCCAGATCACAACATGGCAGACGAAGACTTTCCTGATGAAGACTTTGACGATCTTCCCCTGGATGAGTTGGACAGTGTGATTTTTCAAGAAAGTCCAAATGTTGTTGCACAGTCTGACAGCAGTCACAGAAACACGCCACACAACAACAACAACAACAACAGAATAACAGGAAGTCCTAACAGAGCAACAAAAGCCCAAACTGCTCAGTTTGAGCAGCACACTTTGGATGGCTCTGGGTCAAGGCTTGGTTCTAGCAACTCCAGATCCACCAAACAGAAAAGAGACTATCAAGGCTGCGCTAAAGGAGCTACAGTGAAGTCCTGTAACCCAGCAGCTTCAGGGCCAACGCATGAATTAGAGGTTGTTACTAATGATGAGAGCGATTTCATGGATGAAGATATGGACTGCCTTATGGCTGAGGTAGAAACTGGGATGCCAAATCAGCTCCCTGTTCAACAAGGACCTAGTAGAGACAGAGAGAGGGCCACCAACAAAACAGTAACTTCAATCTCCAATTGTAGACTTGCTGGTGACTCATCAGCAAGTTCTATTAAGACAAAACCTGCATTTGAGAGCTCGCACATGACACCCCAGCGGCAAAATTATACCTCAAACTCTGCAGTATCTGATAGACCATCTTGCAGCTCGGTCCCTGCTGTCACTCTGACCTCTCCACCTTTCACCTATTTGTGCCTGCTAGAAGAGACAATGTCCAAACCACACCCTCGCACCACAGAGATCCGCGTCAAAGCTTTCATTGTGACTCTCTTGGGGAAACTGAGCAGCAACAGCGGTCTTTGGAGCGTCTGCGCTACGATATCTGATGGAACTGGTTACCTGGACGTGGAGCTGTCCAATGAGGTGTTGACGGGCCTGCTCGGCTTCTCTGTGGCGGAGAAGGGGGCTCTGAAGCGTGACCCAGCCCGGAGAGGTGAGCTGGACACTGGGATGAGGAGGTGTCAGGAAGGGCTGGTGGACATGTGCTGTGTTATGACCATCGTGGTTGAAGCAGGCGGCAGGAAAGCTGTGGTGACCAAGGCGGACCCCGTCAGTGAGAAAGTAGTCCAGGAGCTTGAGCAGAGGGTGAGAGAGAGGAGAAAATAGACATGGAGAAGAGGATGGGGGGGAGTGGGTGATAATGAGAAAATTACAGGCAACAGAAAAGTATATTGGCCTTAAGCAGAGATGGAAAATTGAATGAAACTAAGGTGTTTTTTTTAGGACTGGTCATCAACCTTCCCTTCTGCTTCAGATTTGGAGAGCAGTTGTGTTGTCATGCGTCTCATCTGCTGTAGGTGGATGTGAATTTTGTCATTTATCATTAGAGGATTTCATTCATCTATTCAGGGAGCGATTTTGTGCTTGACATGCACTGCATTGCTCCCAAGCAAAGTAAACAGATCTATAACATTGACACTGCGTATAAACGATTGGTCATCAACATATTAGGTCAAACTAGTCAGAGCTGAGCATCCCAAATTGTATATAACATTAAAAACTACAAAGAGAAGTGTGAGGCGTGTGAGAAGAGAGAAGGGAATCGGGGGAGAAAATAATTCATATTCTGATTGTTGTAATGAATTGCCAGCCTTTGCATTCATTCAGTACATCCATTACATCTGACTGAAAAATGATTGAATATCCAAGGGCAGCGTGGGTCTTTAATAAACTCCCCCTGAGGAGAATGAGAGGAAAGGGAGATAAAGGAGAGGCCATGAGCTTCGATTATTTTTGTTCATTATGAAGCCTCATCTGTGTTTTTGTCTTTGATGAATACATATACCGCAGATTTGATGCTTTGCCTTAATTCTCTGTATATTGAAATAAAATTGTTTTTAAAGGTTTTATCATTTTCTGTCACACCCTTTGACTAATAAAACATGCTTCAAGTTAACTGCTCGCTGCTAATTTTATCTTTCCGTCGCTCCTTGTTAAGTGAGGATTGTATTCCTCAAGAATAACAAGAAAAAAATCAATAAGCGGACAGAGAGGCAGTGTTTCATTTGCTTCGTAATAGTCTTATTAAATGCACCTTTGGGATATGCGCTGTTTAAGCACACATAATAGTAATTAAAAGTAGCCCTGCAGTATTATCTGGTCTAGAGGTAGAAACGTGTCTTCAACAATTTGTAATACTCAAATTAATTTGTGTCTTGCCTGCCGTCATACAATATAATTAGGCATCTCTTATAGTTTAATGTTCTCAGTGTGAAAATGAGCAAAATGCAGGCTAATAAAGGTACCGCAGAGGATGTTCGTTATTACATACATGTGCTTACATGTGTGCGTGCATGTGTGTGTTCGTTCAGGAGAGCACATACATGTTACTGTCGTGGCGCTGTGTGCACTTCCATTCAGGTAGCTGGTCTCGGTTCATTAAGGGCTAATCAGGTTGAATGTCTAAATCAGGACCCTGCTATGCATGTCGATAACCTGTTACGTGCTAATGAGGCTGGATACGACAGGGGAGGGGGAGAGAGGCAACCCATAGGGAGGGACAAGTGGAATAAATATTGGGTGACAGAGTAAATGAAACAAGAGGGGAGTGTTGTCTCGGTTGTGCTACAGTCAGACCTCACTGTATACACACTGTAACATGTCATTAATGACAGGTGGCTGTTACGGTGAGCACCCAGTGTGGCTGTGTTCAAAATTATATGGCAAAATACATGTGTTCATGTTCAACAGGTCTATGTAGTCTGGTTTTACGTAAGCAAGAAGAGGATCTAACAAAACGACCTGCCCGTGGAAGTCAGGTCGGCAGTCAGTGATCTCTTCAAAGTCCTCTCTTAAATCATACTTTTATCAGAGAGCCTTCCTGATTTCACTTGAGTTTTAATTTGCTTTGAACTGTCTTTTATTTTCTCAGTTTTGAAACATTTTTTTAAATCCATTTTCATTTAAAACCTGTTGATTTTATGACTGACGTCTGTTTTATTTTGTGGTCTTGTGAAGGACTTTATTATGCTGTTGAAGAGGACTCTTTAGAGTGCACTAACACACTGGTTCCCAACTGGTCCAGCCCCAGGGTCCAGATTTCTCCTTAGTCATCAGTTCAAGGTCCACACAGTCTAACATATTAAGTGTCACATTTGCATTTGGCCATGTGGTCAAGCTAGTTCGCTGTCTCTGTCAAGTAGCTGTCCGTTAGTCAGTCACGCAACAGCAGAAAATGGCACTTCAAAATAAAAGCTTTGTGCCAGAAATTCACTGTATTTAAAAAATGAGGTGTTTTTTTTAACAAACGTCACACATTTGTGAGTCACTTGCTGTTCATTCAGAATGGATCCATGACCCACTTTTGGACCGCGACCTTCCAGTTGGGAACCACTGCACTAACATATTAAAGTACCATTATACTTTTTTTTGGCACAAATTGTTTTATAAGTCAAAAGAAGCTGCATCTGATGCAGGACTCAGCAAGAAGGATTTCCTGAATGCCCGCGGCAAATACAATGCCATGCCAGGCTAGTTAATCTATCAACTCACGTACCCAATCGGGCGAGTACACAAGCGTACTGCTGCCACATCAGGAAAAAAATAATGGATCAGTATTACGTTATAACATGAAAAGTTTGTTGTTCTAACAAGAAGTTTTTCACGTAATAACAATATAGTTTTGTGTTATCCATGTTTTGGGCCATGGTGATGCCTGGTCATTGCAAATAGCCAAGTGTCAAATCACAGCTGGAGTGTATGGGTGCACCTCCTCCCGAGACCAAGTATTGCATTATAATGTGGAACTTTTGATGTCCTAATAATATAAATGATCACGTTATACTGTAGAACTTTTCACGTTTTTACAATATGTTATCACATTTTAACATGAAAATATATTGTTATAATGTGAAAAACTTCTTGTTAGAATAATAAACTTTTCACGTTATAACGTAATACTGACCCATTATTTTTTTCCTGGTGTGGCAGCAATAAACTTCTGTAGGCTAATGCTACCAAAGAAATTAACAGTTTTTTTTCCAGAACTGATGTAAGTGTAAGGAGTGAGCCACCTTGTTTCCATTTCATCTCTGTTGAAAGCTGCACATGCACAGTACTGAATGACAATTACCTTTAGTCTTTTTGTTATTTGAAAACTGCTAAATAAATTAAACAAGTTGTATAGGGACAAATAGATTTCTAACTCACTTGCCCAACCAGGCAGTGAAAAATATAAATTATAAACACTGAACAGAAGCCATGCAAAGTAGCAAGCAACAGCAGAGCAACAGTACAATACAATAACACAACAACAAACAGCATGTTAGCACAAACAGACAAGCAAGCAACATGAAGCACCAACACACAGATTAGCATTACACGCAGACATGCAGAGCAGCAATAGAAAGTAAACACTGATAAAACAGAAAAGTCATTATGTATGGTCAAATTCACTAACACACAAGCCATGTGACAGAAAGTTACCTTTGCTGTTAATGAAATAGATATTTCATACATACCCATGCAGAGTTGGCTGCCTGGCAACGGGCAAGGACATAAAGCAACTTAGCAGCAGGTTAGCTAGAAATAATAAGAACAGTGTTTTGGTGAGCAGTGTACTGTGTTGATTAGAAATGTTCACATATCTGATTGTCCAAAAAGCAGGTCTTGAGCCTTTGTTTGAAGGTGTGATAGGTGTTACCTGCAAGGGTCTCCTTCTTGAGGGGCACAACATTTCTTGCATTCTATCAGCCATCTTGGTTTTGAGAGATTTGTGTTGCACTGACACTGTCATGACGCACCAGGGTCCACTGAAGTGACTTAAATGCACCATATCATCAAAACCCATGTATATACAAGAACATGGCTTTTTAATAGCTGTCCATTGTAGTGACCACTATATGCAAAAGGGTCAAAATTTATAAAAAAAAATATTGTTGGTTGTAATTATGGAGAAGATCATGCAATCAAAAGCTATGACTAATAATCGTTCTCGACATCAGAACGGTTTTTCTATGGCAGTTTCAGACATCAGTAATGATTTTTTATTGCTCAACTTTTCAGCCTCTGTGGACGACAAGTCTTTAACATGCTCAGAAAAAACGAGAACTGGACAAACTCTGCTGATGAAGATCACGTGACTGATCGTAAGATCAATTTTGTCAAAGGTTTTAGTGTTCTTTGTTCTTTGAAGGCACTTTTTAGGATTAAAAGACAATTGAGTGTCAAATAAAGTCAAGTAATATATTACATGATGATATAATGTGAATTTACTCAAGTACTACATAAATACCGAAAAGACATGAATGTTCGCTTGCTTTGGTCCGAATCAACTCAAACATCTGTAACATTTAAATGTTTAAATATTAGGTTACCGGTATATATCAATAATTATGGTCCATAAATATAATGTGTATAATGAAATAACACCTTTCAAGGGGCCATTTTGCAAAGTGGCATATTTTATTTTTTATTTTTTTCAATTTATTTTTGCTGATGACACCCTTGTACTACATAAGCAAAATGTTAAATGCCGGACTTTTACTGTGATGGTGTTTTAAAACCTAAGTGAAGCATCTGAGTACTTCCTCCACCACCACTTAAGTATATGAATATGAAAAGGATATATATAAATATAGCCTTTTAGGCAGTAAATTACAGGACGGAAGTTGGCAGGGAACAAGCTCAGCAAAGAGAACACGACCCTCAGAGATCTTTTATGAAGCTTATGACCTTCATCATTTCCTCCTAAGTGTATTACATGTGCACTGTGGGTCTGGGGTTCAGTGAAAGGCTGGACTGCATAGTCTTGTGAGGAAATTACAATTTTTGAGTCTTTAAAAGTTTGTCATGCAGCGGCACATGATAAATGACATATTTCAGAAGCAGCATGAGAAAGTGCTCGACCACCCTAATAGCTTTCCATTTGCAATATTATTTCCTCGATTTTAGTCTTCCACTTCTGTCTCAGTCCGGAGTGGTAGCAGGGAGGAAAATATGCTTTTTCATTCCCCTGTGAGTTTGGATGTACCTTTCCAAATTGCAGATAGCAGGCGAGTGGAAGAGACTGAGACAGGGGGGACGGAGGACTGTGCTAATTTCTCTAATGCTCATATACAGCTGCACTGTACCTCTTTGGTCATTACAAATATCAATGAAAAAAATACATGAGCAATCCTAATCCCCCTCCTGCTGCAGCAGATGTAATTTTCTTTGGCCTATTACATTTAGTAATGAAAAATCCACTTAGACAGCTCAACCTCTCTTTTAGGCCTCCATCAAAATGAGCAAATGGTTTCTCCTCATGGCAAAAACATACCTCTTTACGTGTGTGTGTGTGTGTGTGTGTGTGTGTGTGCGCGCGTGTGTGTGTGTGAGTGTGTGTGTGTGTGTGTGTGCAGGCTTGAGGATGTGAATCATTAAAGGAATAGAAAATTATGAGGAACTCAGACTAAGGTAACAATAAAGTACCTTCCTACTTTGTTTTGGCTCATCTGGATGGATGGAGGGGATGATTATTGTGGTTTGAAAAGAAACAAAGAAAGGACCCATTTTGTGCTCATATTAAAGTTTTTAGGCGTTTTTTATCTTAACTGACAAAAATAAATATTGTATATTAAAGCCCGATTATAACATCAGTGCCACAGTATACAGATTTACTATCAAATAAGACAACTCATTTTTATTATTAAGATATTTCACGCAATTTTCTCCAGTATTACAAAGTTAAATGTAGCCTAGAGCCACTCTATAAACACATGCATATAATGATAATATACAATAGATTGTAACGCAAACAAATTTGCAAGTAGAGCAGAAATGATTCAGTGGTGGAAGAAGTACTCAGATATTATTTAAGTAAAATAACAACAGTGTAGAAATACTAGTGGTCATGAAAAGGTTTACTAAAGTAGAAGACAAAGTATTAACATCAAAATATACTTAAAGTATCAAGAG